AAGCTCTTCTAAAGAATTAAACGGGAAATAGCGAGGATGTTTGGCTGAAGCTCTCGGTCTCTCTCACTCTCTTATCTCACGAGCAGCGCCTAGACAGCTGTAGGAGACGCTTATATAGCCTCGAAAAAGCGAGCGAGAGAGAGATTTGGCGAGGGGTGACGTGTACAGCAGGCAGCAGGGACACTACTCGCTCACGGCTATTCTTCCTCTCAGTCTCTCGGACATGCGCCCCCCCGCCGCCTCGATCGAGGAGAGAGATAATTGTCTGGCTTCGATTTCCTCCCAAATAGGCAGCAGCCTCTCGACTCGAGACTCCACACTGTGTATATTACGATACTGTACGGGGAGGACGAACGAGAGCCCCCTGATCGATCTGGCCTGCCACTGCCGAACTGCCGAGCTGCTGCTGCTGTGTGCAACGCTGTAAATTGTTTCTCTAATTTAGCCCAACGTGGCTTGTCTGGATAGAAAATAAAGAAAGAAAAAAAATAAGAAGAAAGAGAGAAAAAAATCGTAGAGAAAACAAGGGCACAATATGATGAAAGATATAAATTATGCGCGCCCGAAAAAAAAAGAAAGGCAACGGCGAGGAGTCTAAGCTCGCGCGCGCGATGGTGACAAGCAGCGAAGCGTAGTCATCTTATATAAGCGCCAAACTTTCTTATACTCTCTCCTTCTTCGGGGTTTTTTTTCGCCTCTCTCGCTCTCTCTACTTATTTTTTCTTCGACCCTTATAGCCGATTTAATATATCACCTTTTGGCATGAAGCGTCGAGCGCGCCAACCCCCTTTCCTCTCGTGCAAGTAGCAGCAGCAGTGTATGTGTGTATGCAAAAAGCTCATTTCGAATCCCCTCATACGAGTACACACACACATAGACATTACTGGCATGACGAGGCAATCCACCCGCACCAGCACCAGCACCAACAGCGACTGAAATCCCGTTAGAGTTATATATACGTATACGCGAGCCCGGGCGTTAGCGCCCATTTTGTGCGTGTATAGTAGTAGTATAGTACTATCTAAAAAGCAAAAGGGACACGCGCCTCGGATGTGTTGGTGCATTATACAGCATTTGGCAAGCCCACCCGCACGTACACACACGGCACGAGCGGCATATCGGCGCGTCGATTTAGACGCTTTTTTTTCTTCGAGCTCTCGCACCCAAAGCTCTCTATACATATAAGGGAGAGAGAGAGAGAGAGGAGGTTTACTTATATCGCGCAGTGTGCGCCGCGTGGCGCGATATTTTATACCGAGAGATTGGCTTGATGGTTTTTGCTGCTGTTCAGAGAGAGTGAGAGAGCTATGCCGGGAATGATAACAATGGCGCAAAATGTGCTTATATGTGCGAGGCAGCTAGACGTCCATGATGCCTTCTTGGCTTACGATACATCTTATGTATGTATGTGTATGTGGGGATTTTCGGCATGCCCTAATGCGCATACTTTCGCCCGCCGACATTACACTACTGCTGCCGAGGAGCCCGAAAGAGCATCGACTGAATAATTTCGATGTTTGCCGAGCATTGGATTATTCATTACGTATATACATATCTGTATGTACATTTCGTCGGCTCGCGCGAGCGCGAGGCTTCAAAGCTCGCCTTCGACGCGCGCCCCGCGCAAAACCCGCGAGAAAGCGCGAATAACTGTGCAGTTTGCTATCCTTATGTTTTCTGCAGCATACACATATACACCGCAAACGAGGTCCTCGAGCCAGGGAACGAACAACGAGCAACGACGACGACGACGACGACCCACGAGTGCGCCGGTAGCAGCAGCAGCAGCTCGGAAAAGTTTGCCAGCCATCCGCGGCATTTCGTGGGCGCAATATAAAGCATACGCCGAGGCACAAGCACACATAGTGCCGAAGTTTCGTGTCTAAAAAGCCTATATATACATATATAATAAACGTTCCTGCTGCTGCTCTTTCTCTTTCTATATGCGTGGATGCGCAGGGGCGGGGGGGATCGAGGAGGATATCGTTCCACGCGTGCCACCCGCGCGCGCGCGTATCTTTCCACCGGTGAAAGGAGCAGTACATATAGAAGCTTTGGGATGCAGCAACATTCTCGAGTAGATTCTTCAAGAGATTTGATTATGCAAAACGCAAAACTGCGAGGATAGGACACGGGAGAGAGAGAGAAAAAAGGAGAAAGGTATAGAGACGGTACGGTTATCGCCGCGGCGATGTATGCCGCCTGGGTGGTAGGTAAAGTATAAAGTACACGCGAAAACGAGCTGCTTTGAAGTCGCAAACGAACGATGCAGTTGCGTATACACGATGTAGCCGCGGCCTGTGTTATGTACCGCTACCCTCTTGCGTATACATTTTTCGCCCTTCGAGGACGTCGCGCACGACATCGACTCGCTCTTTTATCCTCTCGCGAATGAGATGGAGAAGACGAAAAGATTACGGGCCTGTGCGCTTGGCTCGTTCACGAGGTACTTCGATACCGCCCCGCCGATGCGCGAGACCGTCGAGTCGCCGGATCGTCGTGGCACGACGATGATGGTAGTAGTTGCACAAGCCGCCATCATATCGTGGTGGCTCGATCGTAACGTTAACGTATGCGCGTATGCACCTGGAACAAAGAATGAGATTCGTTAACAAAAATTAATGTATGATATTATCTGTAAAATTTTGTAATTGTTTCGATGAATCTAACGCATATGATTCATAGTGATTGACTAGGCAAACCATGAAATCGTGAATTTGAAAAAGTGTTCATAAAAAAATTACATAATTTGAAAGAAATGTCTCCTAAGTCGAATTTTTTTTAACCCATTAAGTCCCAAAAAGACGCTTTGTTGACACTTATTTCGGTCGCTGTATTTTTGATGAAAAAAGGGGTCAAAAAAATATGCGAGTAGCCTGTTCTTGTGTGAAATTTAATGCCCTTTTAGAATCTGAGCTCAGATTTTAGAAAAAATAATCAGGTCAAAAGTAATAGTTGATTTTATAAAAAAAAAACGTGATTTTGAAAAAAAAAATGTTTTACTTTTTGATTTGTTAAACGGAAAAAATTTAAAATCTCATGGTTTTCGTACAAATATTGCGTCCCCGATGTGTAAACTAAAAGTTAGAGGGGTTCCGATTCGAAAAATTAATGTTTAAACAAAAAAAAATGGTAGTCGGAACGCGATAAAATGAAAAAAAAACTTCTAGAATTTTCAACTCGAAAACGAAGGACTTGAGGAAAAAATTTTATAGAACAAAAAGTGTTTAGAATTGATCAAAGAATACGTGTGAATTTTTTTTCAGAATTTTCGGAGCGATTTTTGGATTTTTGGATACGACCATTTTTCCAAAAATCCAAAAATGGTTCCAAAAATTCTGAAAAAAATCCAGCGTGTTCTTTGATCAATTCTAAAAACTTTTTGTTCTATAACTTTTTCTCGTAATGTTGATGGTTATCGAGCTAAAAATTTTTGAACGTTCTTTTATTATTATGGCTTGATCGTCGACAAAGACCACATTCAAACTAATCTAATTCATAAAAGTATTCGCTTCGACTTGCCTCGCTGCTACTGCTGCTGCTGCTGATGTGTATAATATTGTACTTGTATACACGATCATATGCGCGTCCAAAGCTGTGTGCGGGAAAGAGAGAGAGACATACACAGAGCTGGCTCGCGGAATGGTCTTAACATACATTTTCACGTGAATGAGTTTCATTCTATCTATGTACATATTATTTTTAAACTAGTGGTTGAACACCAACATGCAATATGGAAGCTATCCGATTAATAAAAAAAATGTATAATGCAGTATAGCAATTTCAATCCGTGCATGTCACCAAATATAACTCCTCAAATACACGTATACGCGGAGAGCGATTCGAGATGCAGCGTATGATATACACGTATAATATACGAAGGAGCGAATTAAAAGCTTATGTAATAAGTTATTATTAATCAAAAAAATGGGTTTAAAATTCATTTTACGACAAATTTAAGAAAATACCAAGTCATTTACTTTCTACTCTCTATAGATAAGTGTAGCAGATGTTCGTTCTCGAACGCTCTTTCTAGGTTATGATTCATGAACCATTCTAAAACTGCCCTCGCACGTGCTCTTTTACCTTTTACTTTTATATTTGGATAGGAGTTTTGAAAATAAACTTCAGATCAATATTTATTGATAAAAGCAGTTAATTTTATTTTTGTGGACGAGTCCATTTGTAGGCCGATGGAGGTCTTACAATTTTTTTATGACTAGCTACCCAAACATTCTTTTTAAATGGTGGTATTTGTCGCCCAGGTCGGTGAAAACGTTTTGGTGTTACAGATAAAATTCGGCCCCGGAAAAATGACCCGTTTTTTGCAATAGCCAGCTTCACACAGTCTCGCTCGGCGAACTCGATGTAGGCATAACCCTTAGGATGTCTGCTAATTTGGTCGCATACTATCGTAATACGCTTGCACGCTCCGCAGCCTTCAAAATGCTTTTCCAGCTCCTGTTTTGTTGCGGAGTAATGAACATTGCTTACGCAGATCGAACGATCATCTGGGTGGTCCGTCGGGAAACCGAGGTTCCTATCTATGTACTGTTTTGAACAGCTGTATTCGATGAGCTCGTGAAGTTTTCTCAGCTCTGCCTCTTTTTCTGACTTGGTTTCTGACTGCAACGGCTTCTCCACAACTGCCTCTTTTTCTGACTCAGTTTCCGAGTGCAACTCTTTCTCCAGCTCTGCGTACAGCGACATTTCTATATCCAACTCAATATGCTCACTTGGGAAAGACATCTTAGAGTATTGTCAGTTAGTTCGGACGATGTGCGACGTTCAAAGATTCGACACGTTATGATGGCTCTAACGAGTGCGTCGGACTTTCTATAGGCGATCGCGTTTCCCTCTCTCTTTTTCTAATTATAAAACACTGGTTAATTGTCAACAGACAGTCAAAATTATTCGATAATCTCACGAGCACGTGGGGCGTTCAGTCGTCAGTGAGAATTCGAATTTCCCAGTGAGAAAGTGTATCCGAAAAGTGTTGGTTACTCGTGGGCCAACCTCGTGTATTTTCTCAAAGAATATCGTCGTGAATATTTAACAGTTAAATTATACAAACAGTTAAACGACCAGTGTTTTATAATTAGAAAAAGAGAGAGNAGCGTGGCAGTTGCTATGCAATTCTTGCATGAATCAAAAGCTTTTTCAAGCTCCGGTGTCCAATGAATTTCTTGCGATCCTTTCAATAATGGCTTGCTGATAGCGTTATGTAACGGAGCTTCATACTCAGAAGCATGAGGAATGAATCGCCGATAGAAATTCAACATCCCCAAGAATCTGCGAAGATCATGAGCAGTACGAGGTAAAGAATAATCTCGAATGGCCTTGACGCGTTCTGGAGGTGCTTGAATGCCTTTAGCAGAAATCAAGTATCCGATAAAAGTTACCTCTGCAACACCGAAAACAGATTTCTGAACGTTGATGACGAGCCCGTAATTTTGAATACGCTCGAAAATAATTTTGAGGTGGTTTCTGTGTTCAGACTCGGAGCGAGAGTATATAAGGATATCGTCCATATACACAAAACAGAAGTCTAATCCACGTAAAACTTCGTCCATGAATCGTTGAAATGTTTGACCGGCATTTCGAAGTCCAAACGTCATGAATGGAAATTCGAAAAGTCCGAAAGGCGTGATGATTGCTGTTTTGCATATGTCCTCCTCAGCTACAGGAATCTGTTGATATGCCTTCACGAGATCAATTTTTGAAAAGATCGAGCATCCGTCGATAAATGAAGTAGCATCGTGAATATGACGAACAGGATAACGATCCGGTATAGTTCGAGCGTTTAAAGCTCGAAAATCTCCGCACGGACGCCAACCTGTCGCACCTTTCGGGGCCAAATGTAGTGGGGAAGACCAAGAGCTTTCCGAAGGACGAGCGGTACCTGCACGTAACATATCGTCAAATTCAGATTGTGCAATTTTTAATTTATCTGGAGCCAAACGACGCGCTCTGCTCATGATTGGAGGGCCAGGAGTCGTACGGATATGATGGACAGTTTCATGCTTGATCTCACGAGGAAAACCAGAAGGCCGAGTGATAGCTTGGAATTCCGAGAGAAGATCTGAGTAATTCGAGGAAGTCGTATTTATAGCCGTAACGCTGCTCTGTTGTGAAGCTTTCGATAAACCTTGAGCTCGGAGTCCAGTGATACCATCCACAATTGCCTTGTACTTGCAGTCTGGCAGAAGATTGTAGTGTGCTAAGAAATCTGATCCGATGATCGGAACGTCGACGTCGGCGATTACGAGTCTCCACAAAAATTCACGTCGAAGTCCGAAGTTCAGGTTCAAGGTTAGAAAGCCATATGTTTTGATGCAACTTCCATTCGCAGCTTGCAAGTTGAAAGTAGTGGGAGGGCGGCGTTTTGGCAGAAGGCGATGAGGGAAACAGCACAAGTCTGAGCCAGTGTCGATCAAAAATAAAAATTTTGTAGCTTTGTCGACGAGAAAGAGACGGCTACTAGAAGAAACGCAGTCTGTTGCCGCCCTTACTGACTGCTCGAGGAGTTTTCCGGATATTTACAAGGTGAATTGCATCTCTTGGCTTTGCCTCGATATCTAGCATGATACCAACACCATGATTTGTCCGAGTTCTTACTGCTATCACGAGAAGATGATTTGTTTCTGTGAGTCGAGTTTTTCAAAGAACGATCGCGAGAACGATCGTGAGAGAAAGACCGAGAACGAGAAGAAAGCTCAACTACTTTCTCCTGAAGCTCCTTAATTGCTCGTAGAAGAGGATCCTCAGAATTTCTCATGGTAGATGCTGCGTGAACGGACAGTGATGGTGTACCGGGTGAGACTTCGACAATCTTATCAGCGAGATCGGCAAGTTTATCCAATGCGAGTTCAGCTTGGCTTGCGAGGATAGCACGGACGTGTGATGGTAGTCGTTGTAGCCAAAGCTGCCGTAGGAGGTTATCTTGGACGATGGTGTTTCCAGCTAGTGAGCGTAGATGCCGCAGGAATTGAGATGGCTTGCGGTCACCGAGCTCCTCCTCGCTGATGAGCTGTCGAACACGTTGCTCTTCTGATGCAGACAAACGCTCAATTAATTTAGTGCGCAGAAAAGTATACGGCGTTACTGCCGGTGGACTTGTGATGATGTCCTCTACTTCTAAGGCGATGCGCGCGTCCAGTTGGGAAACGACATAATGAAATTTTGTCACCTCGCTTGTAATGTCCGAGAGGACAAATTGAGAGTCTGCCTGGGCGAACCAGAGGCTTGGTCGGTCTGACCAGAAGGCTGGCAATTTGACAGCTACCCGATGAATTGCAGGTTGGACAGCTGCGGCGGCTGGAGGCACAGGAGCATTGGCAAGCTCGTTTTGACGAAGCGCAAGTTGCGCTTGAAGATCAGCGAGCTGTTGTTCGAGGCGTTGGTTGTCGAGCCGATGCTGTTCGGCGAGTCGCTGCTGTTCAGCGAGCTGTTGTTGTTCGGCGAGCTGCTGCTGCTGTTCGAGGAGCCGCTGTTGCTCGGCAATTCGGCGTTGATTGTTATCTTCGCGCTCCAAAACCATGACGATAGGCGGGTGCGAAGAGAATTTAAAGTCGCGGGTCACCAATATAGAATTAATACTTTATTTCTATTTAACAATTAACTTTATTATGTGTTCACTGTATGGAAGCTCGAGACTCTCTGATCGCGAATACAATCAGAATATATTTTTAATAATCTGCCGTTGCTAAGCGATCGATGTTGGCGCGGCGGCGTTCGGTTGTCTCGCTACACATAGATAGAATGAAACTCATTCACGTGAAAATGTATGTTAAGACCATTCCGCGAGCCAGCTCTGTATATGTCTCTCTCTCTCTTTCACGCACACAGCTTTGGACGCGCGTATGATCGTGTATACAAGTACAATATTATACACATCAGTAGCAGCAGCAGTAGCAGCGAGGCAAGTCGAAGCGAATACTTTTATGAATTAGATTAGTTTGAATGTGGTCTTTGTCGACGATCAAGCCATAATAATAAAAGAACGTTCAAGAATTTTTAGCTCGATAACCATCAACATTACGAGAAAAAGTTATAGAACAAAAAGTTTTTAGAATTGATCAAAGAACACGCTGGATTTTTTTCAGAATTTTTGGAACCATTTTTGGATTTTTGGAAAAATGGTCGTATCCAAAAATCCAAAAATCGCTCCGAAAATTCTGAAAAAAAATTCACACGTATTCTTTGATCAATTCTAAACACTTTTTGTTCTATAAAATTTTTTCCTCAAGTCCTTCGTTTTCGAGTTAAAAATTCTAGTAATTTTTTTTTACATTTTATCGCGTTCCGACCACCATTTTGTTTGTTTAAACATTAATTTTTCGAATCGGAACCCCTCTAACTTTTAGTTTACACATCGGGGACGCGATATTTGTACGAAAACCATGAGATTTTAAATGTTTTCCGTTTAACAAATCAAAAAGTAAAACATTTTTTTTTTCAAAATCACGTTTTTTTTTATAAAATCAACTATAACTTTTGACCTGATTATTTTTTCGAAAATCTGAGCTCAGATTCTAAAAGGGCATTAAATTTTACACAAGAACAGGCTACTCGCATATTTTTTTGACCCCTTTTTCATCAAAAATACAGCGACCGAAATGAGTGTCAACAAAGCGTCCTCTTGGGACTTAATGGGTTAACAATGACACAATTCGAACAATTTTTTTTCAATTGAACACCTGTTTTAAATTATGCGATCATAAGACTTCAAATTTTTGATGAAAATAAATTAGAGCTAGAATTACTCTTAATACAATGTAATGCCATATTATGGAAAGTTTTCTCTGAAATATTCCGAAGCTTTGTGCTCTATGAGCAAAACATCAAATGGTACCGACATATCGCTAGATGGCGTATGCCCGAATTCTCGAAAATCACAAGATAAAAGGCAAAGTGGTTGATATAAGTTATATTCTTGCACTCGAAGAAGTATTAATGCCATTATTTGGAAATTATCAAGTGAAATATTTCATTTCAATTATCCTATAGAAAATATTGGTATCACATAATTAAAAAAAATTCGATTTGCCACATAATTCTAAGTCGAACACAGGTCCCCAAAATTACGCGATTTCCACCGTACACGTTTTTGCTCGAGATATACGCGTTATAGGATACCGGCGGAGAATCGGAGCCATTGATATTCAAATGAATCGCGCGCTCATGCAAATATTTTATATACGAGCGGCATATAGACGTGTACACACATGACGGCGATATTTAAAACGAAGAATCGATCGAAGAGGCTTATAAGCCGGCGCGCACACACGCATATCGAGAGCCCGTGCGTAAAAAACCGAGTGTATTGTAATGCACGTCGATAATTGGGCGCGCCGAAACTCGTGCTGTACACACTGCAACGCAACGAGATCGCAACAGCGGCAAAGCAAAAAAAAAACAATCCCAAAGAGGGATATGCCCGATTTACGGCACGCGATAAAAAATTTTCCTTCTCTTGCGTTACGTATATAGTAGTAGGTATATACACGCAGGCCGTCAAGGCACGTACGGCATAAGGGAAAATAATAAGGGGGCACTGTCGCAGTGGCAGTACATCAGCAGCTGCGTGGGCCCAAAAAGTGCCTGTTGGAAAAAGGGGTATCCTACATATATATATATATAAGCGCACGTACACACACGCTACTCTGCATATCCTCGCGGTCTCATTTGAATTTCAATCTCATTCTCCTGAGCTCTCTCTCTCTCTCTCTGCCTGTCGCGCAGCACTCGTTGCAGCGGCAAAAAAAAAAAAATAATAATAATCACAGGGGTGCTGCAGCTAGGAAAAAAGCTGCTGCACGCGGAAGAGTACAAGGGTCGTATATCGAGGACGAAATTAGGTCCCAACTTTAGGTGCACCTTGATGGATGACGACGAAAACGAACGAAACTTTACCGTTGTTACGAACGAGCGTGCACGCTTATGTACGCGTATATTATGCACGTAGACTATTTACCTGGATTATATTGTGTAGCTTCGATCATTATTTTACAAGGCGAAAAAGACGATGTCTACGCAGTTTGTTGTTGTTGTTGTTGCTGCTTGCAGCATCAAAGTTAGCCGAGCCGAGAAATCGGATATCACGCCCATCCGCGCGTACGTATACCGATCGTTACGATATTTCCGCGGCGAAATTACAGCTCGCGATGTAAGCGTCGTCACGTCTTGCGCTTAATGTTACACGCGATACGCGAGCCGTCGACGCGGAGAAGATACGAGTTATTTTCGGTAATTGGCATTGTTATATACGGAATACATAATAATGGCGGATAAGACGTAGAGGAAAGAAAAAAACTGCGTGGGGCCTGGTGCACCGTATATATACAAAGTTCGAGGAAAAATCTTGGCTGTTGATAATGTAACGGCGCCAAAATGATATATATATATAGCATGCGATATATGTAAGCCCGAGCTATCATATTTAGACTTTCTACTCGGCTTAATGCAAAATGGGAAGTTTCCCTCGAGGCTTTTCATACATAAATACTCGGCTGCGCCAGCACCGGTACCTATACCAGCAGCAGCAGCAGCAGCAGCAGCAGCTCGTGTGGTGTTATTTTATTCGATTGGACTTTACTTTTATCTTCAGCCTCCTTCTGGGGCTTCGTGCGCGCCCGAAGAAAGAAAGAGAAAAGTCGGCGTATAGCGAGGATTAGCCTGTGTGCGAGGGTGAATGATAATTTCATCGCGATATAGGTATAACGCGTATAGGAGAGAAAAAAAAAATATATAAAGGGTCCTAACGTTGATTTTCCGATCTCTCGCTCTACAAATACACGGCGCGTCCGTTTATTCCATTTCGCTCGACGCCCATAATAAGACAAACATTAAGACACGAACGAAGGAAAAGGAAAAACTCGAGAGCAAAAAAAAAGAAATGGCGAGCTCGAACGGTATATATACGAAAAATATTAAGTAATGATTCCTCTCTCTCCCCCTGGCGCGCGCGTGTAAGCAAATACAATTTTGGGGAAAATTCACCCGCATCGCGAGGCTGAGCTAGAGAGAGAGAATTTCCAAGTAACGTATAATACAAAGACCTCGAGGAGACCATAGTAGAGAGAGAGTAAAGAGAAGCTCAAAACGTATGAGTGTGTGTGTACGTCGCACTCGCATACATGCAAGGACGCAGTGCACACACACACACACACACAGAGGTCGTGTGCGCGCCCGGAAATAGGAGAGAGAAATTCGCTTCTGGCTGATGCTTGCGAAGTCTCACTTGCCACGACAGACTGTCGTAGTCCGTCAAGTAACTCCCTCTCGTTCTCTCTCTCTCTTACTCTGTTCGCTCGTCGAGCTTTGGTTGCTTCGAACGCGCTCTCCACCTCCTCCTTTCTAACTCCTCCTCTTCACTCTCCTATATATATATGTGCTGTATATATGTGGGTGTGTGTGTATGTGGCATGCACGGGAGAGCTAGAGAGAAACTAAGTTTACCCGGGCTGATATTTTCGACCAAAGTCGCGCACAGCAGAGCAGCAGCAGCACCAGCAGCAGAGAAGCAGTGAAAGAGAAGAGAGAGAGGAGAGAGCAAAGCCTTGCACAAGTTTTGCACCCCTCGAGGGATTTTGGTTAGAATATTGAATCTGCTCTCTCTCTTACTCTGGAAGCTAAAGCTCCTCGCATACGTGCTGTTCCTGTGTGTGTGCGCGTGTATATGTAACGAGCACAGCCACATAGTGTGTGTACCCTATATCCTATATAGCCACATATACATTCACCCACACGCAGCGAGCAGGGAGAAATAACGCGATGGCTGAACAGCAGCAGCAGCAGCACTCACATCCTCTCTTCGGAGTAATCTCGCACGCCGTGCGCGTATACTACGCTTTGCCACGACGACGTCGAAGAAGAATATAGATACACGCAACATTAGACGCTTCCTCTGTACATATCTTACAGCACGATGTTACACATACATACATATATACGTAAATAAATCGCAGAGAAATGAAAAGCAAGAATAGTTGGATGTGCCTTCTTTTCTCTTTTTTTCCTTTTTACTTTTTACTAATGTACCGTGTATCGTTATTACTCACTCCTCGTACGCGATGCAAGACCGGGGCTCGCTCGCTCGCCCGATTTATAATATATTCATGTTACTTTGAAGAAAATAGTTGAAAAAGAATCGGCTACACATGTACGTACGGTGTAAAACAAGCCAATGAGATATAAATCAAAGTCAGCGCGTGCAAAGGCTCCATGCGTATATGAATCGACGTTAGCAATAAATTTCTCTGCCTCGGCTGGCGAATCAGTTCCGCGTCGCGAGCGAGCTAGTACCGAACGAGTACAATGATACCCCCTGTAAAGGTGAATATTGTATATAAAGAAACGAGTATGTAACGTAAAGCGGAAATAATAAAACGTCACGGACATTAAAAAGCTCAAATTTCAGCCCGAATAAAAACGAGGCCTAGAAGAAGAAGAAGCGATTTTATAATATACGAAGTAATGTACGCATGTAGGCACGGGTCAACCAAAAAAAAAAAAAGAACCTCGAGCGCTCTGAAAAAA